GCCTCGATGTGATTTGATTTGGAAATCACCAGCTGACCTCATGCGAAGCTGGCTGCCAGCTGCTTCTATATAAGTAAAGCAGGCACCGTGCCTGGCCAGTGTTGAAGTGACTCTCTTGCCTCGATGTGATTTGATTTGGAAATCACCAGCTGACCTCATGCGAAACTGGCTGCCAGCTGCTTCTATATAAATACAGCAGGTACCGTGCCTGGTCAGTGTTGAAGTGACTATGTCACCTCGATGTGATGTGATACTCATAATGTAAACAATGGGTTCATTGACTCCCTAAAAAACAAAAGGGGCATTGACCGCACTATGTAAACAAAGGTTATTGTCTCGGCTAAATGTAAACAAAGGTTGTGGACTTGGCTAAATGTAAACAAAAGGGTCATTGACCTCATAAAATGTAAACAAAGGGGTTATTGGCCTCAGCAAAATGTAAACAATAGGGTCATTGACCTCATAATGTAAACAGTGGGTTCATTGACCCCATAAAATATAAACAAAAGGGTTATTCACCGCATTATGTAAACAAAGGTTGTCGTCTCGGCTAAATGTAAACAAAGGTTTGTGTCTCTGCTAAATGTTAACAAAAGGGTCATAGTCATACATAGCTGCCATACAAACTGATCGATCAATATCAATATAAAAATTGTTTTACACCTTTTTACGCTATAAGAAATGCCCTAGTGAAGGAACAGCTGAAGTCAACGTTTTTTTCAGGTTTAATATAAAGTTCTGATACACCTTGAGGTGCTTTGATCTTTGCAAGTTGTAAGAGTATAAAATGTTCGGTTACAACTGAACTCAGCTCTTCTTTATTTGTAGTAAGACTTTTTTTATAATATATATTTTTATTTATTTTTAATTTTTTTTGTTGTTTTCACATGAGGCAACATCGAATGTGGGAAACGGGAAAAGGCTATTCTATTGGCGGGATATTCGATTTTTGTTTTTGGAAGGTATGTCGCAAAGTGATACCAAAGATTATTTTCGAAGAAATATGAATCCGCTGGTACCAACCCTATGCTGTCGGCACAGGAAAATTTATTGCAGAAGGTTACGAACTGCAAACTCAGCTATTTGAAAAAAAACTCTCTAATTGAAAAATTCAAAAATCTAAAATTGTTTTCTGGTTATAATCACCGAAATTTTACTGTACAATTTGCAAAGATTCATTTTTATAATATAAACCACAAAGTCTTACCTTAATCATCATATACTTAAGAATGCATATTAAATGCAATAAATATTGCAGTCAAAATATTATTCATAAAAGTGTGCATAATTATTTCACATTGAACACACAAACAAAGATAATGTTTATACTTATAAATCAATTTAAATGTTATCGTTTTTTTTGTTAATATTGCCGTTGCCGACTGTCAACAATTAAAATATACATTAATCTGTAACTATTAAATTAATCGGTGAACCGCGCACATTTTCTAACTCCACAAACATTTACAACCATTTATTGCTAGCAGTTACATGCGAGCCAAACGTGCATTGAATTAATAAGAAAGAAAATAAAATTAAATTAAATGACAGAAGAAAATATGGCATTTCATTTAACACGTTCACCAAACTGTTGTACTGACAGCATGACTCGTTACTATTGCTGCGAGTATAAGAATAAATATAAATAATGAAAAGATGCAAGTCACTTTGCGTGAATAGTAAAATATAAATTTTTTTATTTATTTTATTTAGATTGCTGCACCAATCAGAATAAATACATTTATTTGCTGCCTAGGTCAATGCCATAAATTCAATGTAGCATTGACTTTGACCGCTGCAACAGCAAGCTAAAAGTGAATGCACTGTGAAAAAGATTCGCAAAAGCGGTAAATGTTTTAGCGAAGTGCCAATATAAACAAAACCTAGTTTGGCTGCAAGCCAAAGGTGCGCAAAAGCAAATGCCACTTGAAAGGTATGCAATTATATTGAGAGAAGAATAAAACCAAAACAAGTATTTGCATTTCCATGCTGCAAATCGACTAAAGACTTAAGCAAAGAACTTGAAGCACTAATAACAAGTGCTATTTACTCTTAAGTGCTTACCGTAAGTTGGGGAGATAGTGCACACATAAACATGTAAACAGAAGACGTGAACTCAAATATTTATTTAGTTGGAATTATAACATGTTCTGAAGCATAGGTAAGCAGGTAATAAAAATACACTGTGCGAAAAAATTTTGAATTTTTTTCATGAGTTGCTTCGGCTGCAACTTCTAAATAAAAGTAACGAGAATAATTTATTAATTAATTTTATGTGATTTATTTATTGCTGAAAGTTAAAGAAAATATAACAACAAATTGATACTTCCTTATGTAGGATGAAAGAATTAAGATTTAGTTATATATGTATATATTAATTTCTGTAAATTAGTCCTCATATCAAATTGTAGTGGGTCTAAATTTAGCCATATTCATCTGTCTGTCAGTACATACGCGGACTAGTCCTTCAGTTTTTTAAATGTCGATATGAAATTTTACACACGTCCTTTTCACTTGAGGAAACTGCTTAGTTGTCGAAACCGCTGATATCATACCACTATAGCTTATAGCTGATATTCGAACTGATCGATCAGAATAAAAAAAATATATTTTTATACCATTTTATGCTATAAAAACTAGACCTGTGAAGGGTATTCGGGGTAGCTTCGATGCAATTGAAGTTTTGTTACTTTTTTCGCTAACAATACATAAACTCATTGTTGTTTTTATTGATAATATATTTTTTTGAATGACACTTGAAAAATAAGCCGTTTTGGTACTTAAGTGCACTAACACTTTTATTGCTGACGTCATAACTGTCCAACTTCTTTGCCCACATTGTCTATTTTCCCTCGAATTTATCTGAAAACTTTCAAGAGTTGTTTAAAAAACTACACTAAAAATTATCAAGTGCTGTTCTGAGATGTTGATAAGGCATAGTAGTCGCGTGTTTTCAGCAAAAACTCTAACCCTCTATTTTACTACAAGACTTTCATTGACATCATGAGGCCTATTTCATGCATCCAAGCCAAATTATTTTCTACTTACGTTATTCGCGATCTTCAAAAATTTTGAAAGGTACAAAAATGGAGGCGATTGTAATATTAAATTTGACATGTCTCTTACAATATTAGGCCCATTATTAATTTAGAAAAGTGGTTAGCAACGCACAAGCTTTAAAACTCTTTGTCTGGTCAAATACTTGTTAAATTCATCCCCATTTTATAAAGCATATTTAAAAAACTTATTGGTTGAGGTTACTTCCCAATTTGATGTAGTTTATAATATATCTCTGTGGAAGTCACTCTTTACATAACTTCAAAGGGTGTACCAAAAGTGAGGTAAGTGCCATAATATTAGACTCATTGGTTTACGGCTGAAAACCCCATTTAAATTTAATTAAATTTTTTCTGTTAGTATTCAATCCTCAGCAGGCATTCTTAAAAGTTTTCTTAGACTAAAATAATTCTCAATACTAAAAGTTGTCTAAAACGTATTTTTCATTTATCACTTAGCGAACAATATTATTAAGTAGTATTCTTCCTCTCTTCTCTGATTGCTATTAAGTCAGTTCTTGTAGATAGAACTAGATTTATCATTAGTAATCTAATATTATATGTACGGAAGGTGGGACAGCAAATTACAGAAAATTTAATTGCAGCTTTCCGTGAACTCAAAAAAAAAATAGTTATAAGTATTTATTTGCTGATTAATGAAGGCTGAGCACAAATGCAAGCAATTAACTAGTTATTATTTGAAAATTGTACTTAGAAAGTGCTGATTTGTTATTGAAATGAAGATATAAACGGGTTTATATACGTGTTTTATACTTTATGTAATTATAAAATGAAACAAGTTGTTCTATTTCGCACAGACTCGCATTAAAAGGGGGGAAGCTTCTCAAAGGCTTAAAATCAGAGCGATTTACAAGTCTCCAAGCTTACCAAATAAGGAAAAAACATCGTTTATCTATAGTGGTCCGATCCGAACATTGTTTCGGAAGTGTAATTTATTGCCCAAAGGAACGAATCCTTGCCAAATTTGGGCAGATACCTTATGTAATAGAAACGTTTTCCATACAAGGGCTAGACTTTGATCGGTCAGTTTGTATAGCAGCTGTAGTATATTATGGTGGTCTGAAATTGGCGGTCCGACCAACCAGCAGCTTCTTGGAAAAACAGGACGTGTGCATAATTTGATATCCCAAAAACTGAGGGACTTCGCGTATATACAGACGGACAGACAGACGGGCTATAACTTTAAACTGTTAAAGTTACCAACTTAAAAAAAATAAAATCGAAATTCCAAATAGTTAAACGATAATGCTTAGTTATCTAACTTCATGCTAATAAACTGAGGGTGAATGTTAATTTATGAGTGATCGGTACGATCAAAATTTACGACAATTTGAAAAAGAAGCTTGCCTTAAGTTTTTTTAAATATTTTTAGTACCTTCTGTTAATGAAAATAGTGTCATAAAAATAAACAATAATTCAGTAATTGAACTTGAAATATCCCATATACATATGTACTTATGTATACATATTCCTTTTCCATTATGTAAATAATGTGATATATGCAATGGATTACAATGATGTATTAAATTTACTGCATATAATCAGCAGCCGTTCCCTGAATGAGCACATATCTGATTGTCTATTGTATGAGACAACTACATAATTGGTGTGGGTTCGAAACCCATGATTTGCTGCTGAATTTCGGCCTTAAACTTAAGCATAGAAATATAATTACTACAAACTTCTAGTACGTAAACAAACAGTTGAGCGTCGCACACGTTTAGCGGTTTAATTTTATATTATTGAACTTGACCAATTTTTAGTAAGCCCGGTAGTCAGTGCAAACAACGGCAAACGAATGACTGACAGCTCGTGCAACTGTAAGTGCTTGTGTTGCATTTCAGCTAACACAAATGCAAGTCATCGGAATTTTTTGCTGTTATAATTTAACAAGTGGATTCGACTTACTCAGTATATGTACTTGTATAAGTTGTTATCGTAATGACTTGAAAATATTTCACCTATATTATTTTTCACCAAATTTGATCTCACTGCATATATTCAGCTACAACTTCACATTCACCCTGTAGAGTGGAAACTCATTGACCCATTTGCTCATTTACGGTAGTTAATACCGTGAAAGGCCAGCTTTGAGCGTCTCATTTAGAATTTAATTACTGTTGTCTTAACACAGCTTCCAACACCAAAGCACGTCTAAGTGCATATTTTAAATTTTCCGTTTAATTAAATGCAAAGTACAATAAAGTGTTTAATTACAATCCTATTTTACTATTATATGTTTGTATGATATAAAGCCATATAGGCTTGTAATTAAACTACTACTAGTATAATGTAACGTAGCACAAAATTAATATGCTCCCATTACAATTTATTAGTCACTATATGGATGCATAATTTAAAGCAGATATTTAACGGAGCCCTGCACAAGAGTCTTGTAAAGTCGTGTTTGCGCTTTGACATTGATTGTTATTGACAGTTATGTCAGACTATATTTAATGCTGTTAAACTAAGTTTTCATTTTCGTTTTCAGTTCGATACTCCAGACACAGCGAGGCTCTACCTTCTTTGATCCGTCTAAAAAATAAGTTTTCTGGAGGTATGTTAAGTAAGCGTCCAAGGCGTCGAGAATCACCTCTTTTTCGACTAAAATTTCTACCCGGCAGCAGTTCTAAGCCTAAATCGAACAAGCCTCAAATCGATATATATAATTTGGCATAGTCAAATCTTTTGATCGTTTTTCACTTCTCCTAGTAGTCGATGTTGAACACAACATTCGAATTTGCGAAAGCAGGGCCATTACCTTTCCGGCTAACAGAATCATAATAGGTTCCCTAGTGAAGTTCACTATTTCGATGGTTCATTGTTCTCTAATGTATACCATTTTTCGTCGACAGTCACTAAATGACGCAGAAACTCCTTCAAATTGCGCTTAAACAGAATCAAACTCATCCCCAATATTTCATGCCGAATATGTCTCACGCGGTCTTCTGAGATACCCAGCTATCTCATACACTTTAATCGTGGGTCTGCCAATACAAGATCTGTAATTTTGTCATGTTATTCTCTGTGGTCCAACTGTCACTCAGCCAGCCCATGCCGCAACTGATCTTTTATAAACCAAGTGTGGTGAAAGTGCTTACAACCTTCTCAACGTTGCCAGTTAGTCTGCTCGGAACTGTAAATTGACAGCATTCACTTTTTCCCGATAAGTACAATGAAAGTAACCACCATTTTGTGTCAAAATATTGATATAAATTTTATTTTATAGAATTAAGTTAATGTTTAATAAAGCTAAAAAGAAAGATATTCAATTGTTTTTTCTTACTTTCAGAATACATTTTTAATATTCGGTCTGTTTTTAGAGCCCTAGACTGCTATAACACTGCAGTAAATTTACAAATTGTTTACCACAGTCTCCAATTTATTCTTATTAGAGTAATAGGATTTCTATTAAAAAAATATATAGTTTAAACATCTACATAAGTCAACCACATATGGTGTTCCAAATGGTTTGCCAAGTTACTCACTTTTTCCTCGTACTGTCACGAAAACATTTCATATCATTAATCTAATGAATAGAATTGTCACAGCTGCGTGTATGTATATAATTATTGATTTAATTGTAAATAATTATACCTATTAATTTTTTTACTTCTCAAATATCACGTGTACAAATAGTTTACATAAATTATTACCCTACAATTTGCTTATGCATATATATACTATAAAAAAGTAATCTAATTACAATCTAACTGTATTATCACAGGTTTTAATTACACGACTAACTATAAATTGCACATAAATATTTATAATTAGAAAATACCGCTAATGGATGGCTAAGACTGGCGTTCAAAGTCAAACTACAAAATCTTTAGCGCTATTGACACGTGTCACAAAGTAAGGACGCGCCTCAGTCGGACAGCGGAAAGTCTTCATTAACATTGGCTCCACCAAAATACTTTTGTGGTTATCATCTTCCAGCATATTGTTCCAAAGATAATTAGCGCCTGTGATGTAATTTGTTAAAATAAAATTATTTTGTATAATAAAAAATATAAAACAATATTAAAAAAAATTATACAAAATAATAAAAAAAAGTTGTTTGAACAAATTTATAAAAAATATTTAAAAATATACATATTACATACATATACATTTATATAAAATATTTAATATCTCGAACATTTTTTTAAAATAAATTTTTCACAAAAAAATAATTATTTAAAAAACTTACTGATCGCATGTCCCCGCTGACTCAAATGGAAGCAGTCCTCTGACAGAAATTTGAATTTCATCGCGTCATCGTTACTGGGAAAGAAATCTTCGAATAGTGTAAATGGCTGCAGATTAATGGTGAATGTCTATAAATAAATTAAAAAGCATTTTATTAATGGCAATTTCAAACATTTTTTGTAATAATGTATTTAAAACTTAATTCGCCACGTACCTCTGTATTAAACTCGTCCCTATTCACGATCTCTTTGTCCTTCGCAACCCAATCTTTCATCAGCTTTATCATTCTTACCAAATGCTGCTTGGGCCTACCCACTAAACAGGGGCACTCGAATGACAAGGTCGTATGACAAACGGGTGTTTTCATACTCAAAGCCACTAGGAAATCCAATTTTGGCGATGGCACTACATTTATCATTAGACGTGGCACATTATCACGTAAATAACGGTAAGTCTTCACCATATTTTCTTCATGTCGCTTGATCGCATCCTCTGGTCGTGGCAGATAGCAAACATCTGAGCAAAAGTCATTGTTACCAATAAGTAAAGTGATAAGCTTCCAATCTGCGGTCATATTCACTTTCGGATCACGTGACAAGCGTTTGACAAGAACTTGCGCTTCATAAGGTATGTCACGTGACATGGCGCCCAACTCAGCGACGTTGAATCTGTGGTATAATAATAATTTATCAATAAACATCATAAAAATGTATATAAAAAACTATTTAAAAAAAACTTCACTCACTTCGAACTACGATCGGTGGAGAGCCCATCTTTCAGCGAGTAGCCATACAAGTTCGGATTGAATTCCTTCAATATATTTGGCAGCGTTAGATATTGTCGCCAAGTACCTTGTCCACCAATACTCCAGACCATACCGCGATTCTCTACCGTAATGTGTAATAAATTTGTGGCAAAAATGCCGTTACCAGCTGTCAGCGAATCACCCATAGCACCGACGATATCTATATCACCGGGTCGTATACGATGCACCGATGTCGGGCGTGTTTCACTGCGTTTACCGGGCCCATTCAGCGCATCGCAGAAATTCACCAACGAACGCGCACGTGTATTGAGGTTTTGAGTTTTCTATTATGTATAAAGAAAATATAGATAGAAGTGATAAAATATTATACCTAATATTCACTTACGCCCATATCGCGCACAAGTTGTCGATTACCCGGATTGTCACCTGAACGCCCGGCGAAATTTAAACCAATCAAACGTAGCGGTCGATATAAGTTACGGAATGTGTCGTCCAATGAAGTGCGTTGCATAAGCACCGGGTGACAGCTGTGACACAGTAGTGCGGAGAGCAATAGATAATATTTAATTGGTGTGCCGTGCATTTTTTATTGTACTGTAATGGAGCTGGAAGTCAAGAAATATGTATTGGAATTATATTTTCGTTATAAAGTAATGTGATATATACGTGTATAATCTTAAAGCTCAGATTACATACAGAACGAAATTATTAAAAATAGCAGAGGATGTTCAACATTCATCAAGCGCATCATTACTGTTCAACAATCTAACGAATGGCGCACTAAAAATAAGCCGAAACTGAAAAAAACAAAAATTCGCCCTCTCATAAAGTGAAGGATAATTGAATTAGGTTCAAAAGGAGCTTATCTTGAGGGCGACAATATAGGTTTGTATTAAAATACTTGGTGATGATGTTTTTTTTTGTTAATTTTGATCATTATATATTACAACCACAAACGCGAAATTTGTTAATCCTTGATTGAAGTATCAAAACATTTTATTCTTCTGCAAACAAGGTTATTTTATGAAAAAGGTATTGTAGGATCAAACTTTCCAATTAAAGTACTCTCATAATATGTAAACAGTTTAGACCCCATTTTTATCATCGTTTAAAAAATAAAGAGTCGTCAAATAATTTTAGTCTCAAATAAGAAATCGAGCTTATAGTCAAATATTTGGCTCAAAAGCAGTTTCCTTTGCAGCATACTGATGCCCCTTAGCGTTAATATATATTGTAATTTAGGATTCGTTTGCATAGATGTATTATATTGACTTTTAAGGAAATGAACTCCCGATCATAGGGCTCATTAAACTAGTAATTATATCTGTATTATTTGCTTTTGGCTGAACTAATTCTCTACAAATATATGTTATATATATACATAACTGAGCTAATGGATTTTATATGATGCTTCTTCTCAGCAGATACGCCTGAGGTTCACTTGCTAAAAATCTTACCAAAAATGCATAAAAACCCGTTTTAAATGCAATTGTCAACAAATACTATTAAAATCCCACACAACAACAATAAACAAATTAAGTTATCAAAATGCGATATAAATATAATCTAAAATTATTTTCGAGTTAATGAACTTATTATTTATGCAATAAAAGCCAATCTCACTTTTTTTATGACTCCGCTTTAGTATGTAGTAGCTGTCAACCTTGACCTACATATGCTTAAATAAAGTGAAAAGCTTAACCCACAAACAAAAAACGGGATCAAACGGAAGCTAAAGTGAGCATGCGTTACGGCATTTACTAAGTTTTTTATTAAAACACGCAAAGCAATGCAGCAATATAGAAATGGTAGACATAATAAAAAATAAAACTGTTAAAAAAGCATTTCCGACAATGCGACTAACTCATGGCGCGCGCGGCATATAGTAAACACAGTAATAAAACAAAAGGTGAAAATAAAAACAAGACAAACAAAAAAGAAGTAATGCCAAAACACCAGAAAAATAACTGTTTTAAAGCCACGAAAAGAGAACAAAAAACAAAACATGCATACATAAAAAAATATGTATATTTTTAGTGTCAGCCGCTGTTTGGTTTATTGACCTCACCAAATTAACAGTAGACGCGGATTAGCATTGTTTTTTTAATTAAATGAACTAATATGAGATATTAAATGTATAATAAAGTATTTCAAACGTTGTCGCCTATATCTGTTCATATTTTCATTCTGTTTTCGATGCCGAAATTGATGATTCAGTGAAGGGAGATGTGATTTATTGGCATAAGGCATAAATATTTAATATGTAAAAGTATATACCTATATAGCATAAGTAGCTAGTAAAAGCAAATATTATTCGCATTAATATATAAGTGTTAAATGTAACAAACGTGTTAAAATATTTAAAAAGAGTATTAAAAAATTTTAAAATATATTGTAAATAGGAAAATAAATATAAATAAATTATGATATCTAAACCAAAATTTTTTATGTACACTTTTTCTTAATATTTAAAAAAATATTGAAAAAACTAAAGAAAAATGTTATAAAGCTAATAATTAGTATTGTAGTAAATATTCATTAAAAAAAAATGTCAAAAAAGGCAAACAGGAATTTATAAAAATTGTGTATGTTTTTCTACAACGTCAGCACATTCTACTCTTAATAATTTCTAAAAATAATTTTTTTTGGTTTTGTTATTATAATTTAGCCACTAATTATAACGTAGTTTTTTGTCTATTATGCAAAATCCTACCTTCCATGAAATTTTTACATTTATAATTACTTCTTTATTATCTCTGAGCTATTATTGTTTTTTTACGTGTTTTAGCCAAAAGTTATGCCATTGGCGCCGCTCCTAAGACGAGTGACTACTATTACTGACGAAACATATTAGCTTGCTTCATTTCAATATCTTGTTAATATTTTACCTATGTTTTTTTTTGCCGATTCGTTGTAGCTTTTCATGTTAATTTTGTTTCTTTGTGGATGTTTCGAATCTTCATCGATTTGCTAAGTGAATTCGTAAACGAGTGCGAAAACAATGACGTGAGTGTTTCTTACGTTTTACGGTTAAAAAAACACGGAAGAAATTGAAAAAAATATATGAAAAAAATTATCCAAATATATAGCTAAAATAATTGCATAATTTGGCGTTAAGAAGCTTCCTAATTCTTAAATAATATTTTGATTATGTTTCAAAAATATTTTGAAAAAGCGTTTCAGTTAGCTCTCTAACATTCTCTTTATTAGATTTTTTACCGAACTGCTCTTCCATTTTTCAGTACAAAAAATAAAAAATTCTTCAAGTTCTGAGGACCCTCGGTATATCTGTTCGATTTTAATTAAATTATTTTTACGCTCAAATATACCAGAAGATAAGTAAACTCTATTCATTAGATTTATTTGGTGCATGTTTGGCATTTTTTTATTGGAGTATCTAAAAGTATTAATTTTACCTTCTGCAGGCCAATCACAATAAGTTTTATAATTTTTGGATTAACCATAGCTAGGATCTGAACTTATGAGCTATCAAGAAAAAAATGACTTGATTAAGGCGTTGATTGTCCTGTATTAAATTACAAATTTTAACTAATTTATCCCACATCACAGTTAATAAAATAATTTTAAATAAATATAATATAAATTTTAAATTAACCAAAGTTAGTATCTGAAGTTACAGACGATGAAATGGTAGGTGACTCGGCTACGACGTTCCAAAGGTTCAGTAGCCAACGAAAGCAGAAAGGTTTTAGGTTAATGATTTTAGATTTATTAAATTTACTAAATTTTAATTTGTCTGTTTCCCATATCAACCAACAAATTAATTGATTTGTCACATTTTTACATTTCTCTTCCGTTCTCTTTTCAAGTAAGCAAAAACAAAATTTTTATTCAACTTTTACTAAAATTTTGAGGCACTTCAACGTTCTCTCAACTATTTCGCAATTAAACAACATTTTAATAACAATACAATTTGGCACCCTGACACAAAGACCTGCTTATTTTCATTGCCAATGCCTTTCAAACAATAAAAAAGTGACATGCGACTATTGTTCATATTGCAGTTGAATAAATATCACTTCATTGATTTGTTAAAGGTTTGTTGAAAAAAAAAAAAAATATTTCAAATGCATAAAACGTGTGCAAACATAACACAGATGCTATGTGAAACTACAAAAAGCGCCATAAATTTACATATTTAAACTAGTCTAACAGATGAAGTTCAACAAAATGTGTTTGCGTTAATTATTTAAGTATTTTAAAGTTTGTTTAAATGCTTCTAGCGTATCCCACCGGCACCGGCGTTCAAATTTTCTCACACGTAAATAAAAAACAGCAACAAGTTTTATGTAATTAAAAATATTACAAAGCTAACATTTTACAAAAAATAAACAGCTAATTTCACAAAAAATGCTACCGAAAACTATTTGAAGCAACAAAACTGAATATGATTGACTTGCTAAAAACAGTTAGTATTGTTCAAACCAACTAATATATACCCATAACCCACAAATAATAGGTGTTGAAAATGGTTTTACATAAAAAATAACGTCTTAAATTCGCGAGACTTCCTCAATTAATTGTTGGAACCATTTAGTTTAAGGAAATATATACAAATACACTAACTTTTTTCCTCTGGATTTTAATTGTATGGAATCTGTGCGCGCTAAAACTTCGAATTCTCAATTAATTGTGGATTTCTATTAATATTGATTCCACAAAACTCACACACATGCGCACAACTATATGTAGTTGATTTCTTTATAAATATATTTTTGTATAAAAAATTATCCGTTAAATACTATTTAATGTGGCAATTAAGCGTTTAGCGAACACTAAATAGTTAGACTAATAGACTCCGCTTCAATTGCTTGTGAGTTTCAGTAAAATTAACAGATAGTTTAAAATTTTTTTTTTCACTCTTTTTTGCCAAATATTAACAAAGCATATAAAAAAATTTTTTTTTTGCTTTGAAGTTATATGTATATACACATATATACATGCATAGATATCTATATTACGTAACTTCTGTACTGAAAACTGAATTTATTTACTCTGCTAGTTATAAAAAACCTAATTTATCAGCATATTTTTATATGAAGGAATTTTTGTATGAAAAGGTGCCAGAGTAGTTAAAAATGTTTTCTTTAATTTCTTTCTTTTTTTCTTTGTATTTTGGACTTTTGTTTTTTATCTGAAGCGATACAGCTGTTTGAAAAATAATTTCTGTAAAGAAAATCGTTGTATTTCGGAATTTTTATAATACTAATAAAATTAAATTTACAAAAAATTTGTACTCAAATTATTTTCTATAAAAAAAATCTTTGTATTTCGAAACTTATTTTTAATTATAATATTTTTTTAAATGGCTGTTCATAAAATATTTTTTATAAAGAATATTATATTTCTACTATTTTTGCACCGTGTAGAATGCGCTTTGTATATTTAAAACCAATCTTGTAAAGATCCATAAAGGCAAAGATATCTCTTTTGAAAATCTTTCAGTGGACAATCTTTCGATTATTTGAACTTAAAACGGCATATAATTCTTAAAATACAATAATAGCATTTCTAAAAACGATTTTATCACTTCTTTGATTTTACTAAATTGTTTCAATATTAGGGGATGATTTGAAAAACGATTTAGCCAAATTCTTATTGTAATTTTTTGTTGCAATGTTTAGTCATTATACTTTTGAATACAAGTAAAAAAATATTGACTCTCATACGATACATAAAAAATTTTAAAGTGACTTTTCAAAATTTAATTGATTAAATAAGCTCAACGAAGACTTTCTTTTCTAATAACCTCAGGGACATTTCTTATGTATTTAAATAAAATAACAAAAGACTTAAACAGCAAACTTAATAACATCAAGAAGCTGGAAAAGCCAACTAAATTACATAAGACTTAAGAGACGAACTCACCTTATATTAATATATTTTATTTTTATTGGAGAAATTCACTTTCTGTTTTATAAACGCAGTGATTACTTTTATTGTTGCAAAGTCTTATTTTATATAATGTTTTTAATTAATTAACACAATCATCTTTAATCACAAAATAACAATAAATGTTAAAATCCGCTGTTTGCATTCAGCTCGTAAAGTTTAATATATTTGCAAGTGCAAATGAATTTCAATTTTTTATTATCAAAATTTATTATTTGTAAATACATATATAGTCACCGGCGCACAATTTCACAAATATTTATACTTACTTTCTTTTATTTTTAAGGCAATTCTTTATTTATTTTTTATATTAATAATAACTTGTTTGTAATTTTTTTATTGCTTTGTTATGTCAGCGCATAAATAATAATAAAGAACCATTTAAAAAGTTAATATTTTTACTTTTAATTTCTTTACAATTTTATTTATTATAAACAGCGTTAACTATATACTTGTTTATATAATTCCATGCAAATATATTAAACACAAACTCGTGTAAATTTAAAATGTCAACAAACACAACTGAACTCGACTGAAATGTAACGAGTAACTGATTTTATTAAATTCTTTTTTACAAGTCTAAAAAGTACCGTATAAACAATTCTATTAAATTCTTTTTCGCAAGTCCGTCAACGCCACCCGCCACGCTCAGAATCAGAATCAGACTGTGCACTGCAAATTCTTATTATGATTATTTTATATCAAATTAGCGACAGCGGCAACTAAGCGAACGCAATCATTACGGCGGCTATGTTCTCGTTGTGGCGGCGCAAGCAGCGGCGTCGTACGCGAAGTATACTGTAACGGGCGCGAGCGAAATGGAATAAGAAAGAGTTGGCGCAAGTAAAAGTTGGCTTAAATGCTGGCGGAACGTTTGTGCTATGTAGAGTGAACGCTGAAACAAAACTGACTGTGATTAAAGTTGAGATAGAATCGACGTCGAATTGAGGCGGTAGAAAATGAAACGGCAAGCGCAAAAGAAAAAAAACCATATAAAAAATATAAAAAAAATTATAATATAATATACAATAGTGGTACGATCAATAAAATTTGTTTGGAGATTGTACCGTTGCTTTTCAGATTATTTTGATTAGCAATGCTAAATTTTGTGCAGATTTCTTGTTAAATAAAAAAGTTTTCATGCAAAGACCGGATTTTGATCGATCGGTTCGCATGACAGCTATATGCTAAAGTGGTCCGATATCTAAGCTTCCAACAAATGAGCAACTTCTTTGGAGAGAAAATAACGTGTGCAAAACTTCAGAACGATATTTTAAAGACTGAGAGACTGGTTCGCATATATACAGACAGAAAGACGGGCATGACAAAATCAAATCAGCTCGTCACGCAGATCATTTATGTACCATATATATATTATATATATATATGTATATACTATATAGGGTCTCTGACGTTTCCTTCTGGGTCTGGGTATTACAAATGGTAAAGTTAATATACCCTATTCAGGGTATAAAAAATATAAAAAACATTACAAATAAAGTTATCAAAATAAACAAATCAAAACACACGTGCGTGCATAAAAATCCTGCGACTGCGACTTGGGAACCCTCCTATTTATAACATTACTTTTTGGATTGTTACCCGCGTTAACTCTACGCACTAACCGGCAGTTAAGATGCCATCCACCACCGCCACCACAGAGTAGTGTCACTGAAAGTGAGTTGACAAGCGCGCCGCAGTCCGCAAACAGCGCAGCGTCCGCGGCCTACCAAAAGCGCACCTCTCATCATTATAAATATAATACATGGAAGAATTTCTTGCTGGCGGCAGCTCTTATCGTCGCGCTGATATCAAAGTCAGTTAATTATGCGGCGATTGTGCGCGCTCAGCGATCAGCAACTCAGCAGATCATTGTGATCCCTCCCAAACCTATTGCAGGGGACGTGTTGTTGGCGACGCACGCACGCGTTGTGAGTTGTTAATTTAATTTGTGAGTAAGACATAGCGCTTCTGGAATTTTAAACAATGCCTTCATTCTACTTGCTTTGCAGACTTTGCGCTTTTTATGTTTTATCTTTTTTCAATTCATTGTTTTATATACGAATATAAATACCTATATGTTTGTAGTTGTGTCGCTTGTTGCCTATTTTGGCATCACTACTGTACATAAATAGTGTGTACACGCTTTTAGCGGAGTTTCTTGAATTTAAACGCATTTATTTATACAATTACTGTATCAAGTCGCGCGGCGTAATATGTAGTGATTTTTTATTTTATATAATTGATTTTTAGCATAAAAAGAAGTTGTATTTCATTTTTGCGGTGTGTTGTTGAGTTGGAGGAATTTTTCGCTTGCCGGTTTTCGAAAAAGGAACTGTCCCGTCAGCTGTATTCCATGTTAATGACCTATAAATATACATTCGAGTATATGAAACGAAAGAGTGTGCTGTGCGAAAAATGATAGATTATTGTACTACTGGCCAAATAAAGGTCTCTAAGCTTGGCTACTCGTGTAAGGAAATGTACGCGAATTTTGTTTTTATTGTGAAAAGATAGCTTCAGATTTTTTTAGTTTCGAAAAGGAGCTAAGTGTAAATTTACGTATTTTTGAACCCACGAAGTAGGCGCAATTCGAAAAAAACTGATCATAATTTGCTTATTTATTATTTGCTTTTCATCGTGTTGGCATCAGAGAGAGATAGCCGAGGATCTCAACATCTCTTATGAATCGACTCAACACATTTTTTGTATTAGAGTCACATCATTCTTTCTTTTCCGTTACCCTAAGTTGTTAATTTTCAAGTCTTCTAGACTGACATCCACAAGTGAGTAAATCAATTGAAAAACTGTCAAAGACAAACTTTTAGCGCGAATAAACACGTTTTCAGCGCCGTATAGTATGACATGATGCGACACGTAACACTAGTACTATGGACAATAACGCCATCTCTTAGATAAAAACCGAACGAACTTTTTACTTGACCTAATATTAAAGTTTATTTCCTAAGTACCACAAAATATTGAGACTGGCAACCCGGCATTGTAAGAGAGCAATCAGCTGACTAGTTTCTATGGGACCCCTCCAATCCAATTTACGCGGATATCCCACATTACGGACGGTAAAAGGTTTGGTGACTGTTCATTTACATTGCGCTCTCATAAGATAGCTCGTATCAGCTGATGCGGTCTACTATTTTGCGTCGGTCCCTCACTGAAGCATTAAACGGAACAGGAAAAACGGGTTTGCGTGCCCCTCTGTGTGACAGTCACGCCCAGTCAAGGTAAAAGTATATACAAAATGACAAAATAATCCTGAAAACTCAACTGACTTTGATTAAAGTTAAAATAGAAAAGAATAAATCCACATAAAGATATATGATTGGATTTTATTTATAAGATTAATTTAATGGTTGTACATAAATACTAGTTATGTGTAATGTGACTACCGGCGTTCAATCGCAAGACGTGGCAATTAAGATTGCATTCACCACTGCCACCACAAAAGGGTGTAACTGAAACCGAATTGACAGGCGCTTCGAAAACCTCAAACTGTACAGCTTCCGCGGGTGCCTCTCACCGATATATATGAAAGAATTTCACACCGACGACAGCGCTTGACTTTATCGTCGCGCTGATATTAAAATCGCCTGTATTTACTTTACTTAGTATACCTTGCAACGATCCGGGTTCTGACAATCCAGTGTTTTTGTTGTTGTGCATGTATTTATGCATTTTGAGTTGTTATTAGCAATTTGATCGATCAAGAATACATCAGCTTGTTTGTACTACAACTGGTTTCCCTATTTTGCATTGTTGCATATGCCATATAATCTATCACATAATACGAACAAAGGAATAAAAAAATTTTTTAATTATTTTTCATAATTCAATTAAATTTCCAGACTGGACTTTGAATCAGCGTACAAAGTTCTACAAAAAGTACTTATTCATACCCTGTTACATATATTCTGTTATGTCTCTCAAGATGGTACGTGCCTCGGGTCTGGGTTATAAAACAAATCCGGTTTTAAATACTTTCAAAATAATGTCAACTAATTAGCTACTTATAAGCAAATGTTTAACAATAATTTTTTTATTAAATCAATTAATTGAGCAAGTCTTCAATGAAGTGAGCCAGTATTGCCTAAATTGACGAAATTTCGCTAGAATTATTATTTAAAGCACGTCAATTAAGCGCTTGAATGCCAAACTAAAAGCAATAAAAAGTCGGTTGTGCAGATTTTTTTTAAATTCTTAACTGATTGGACTTTACACCATGGAATCCTGTACTCGCTTGTCTGGCAAACTTACGTCAGCGCATACAAGAAATGCTACAAGAAAGTCAGCATGACAGTGAAAAAAACGCTGTCAGTAATTCAGGCAACAATTTGCCCAAAAAAATGAAGACGAGTCAGTGTATTTTATGTAAATAAGAAATTTAAAGAAGAGTAATTGAATTTGCGAACAAAAACCGTCGCTTCTACTGCCGGCGAGCGTATGCTCGTTATGTGCGAAATTTGACACACAAAAGGGGATAAAAAACAAAAATCACTTATGTTAAACATATACAAAAAATGGTTTTATTAATGATTGTGTGATTTTTGTGAACATGTAAGCAAACAAAAAATCCAAATAGCGGATATCAGTGATATGATGATGCTTCAACTTAAGTGCGGAACGAAAATAATGGAACAATCGAATATCGCGCCAAAGATTAGTCAAAGCATAATTTCTACTAAAACGGAATTCAATGGTATAGTAAAAATAAAAATGTATTGTTAATACAAAAAAATAAAATTAAAAAATTTTTAAACATATAAAAAGTTAAAATAAAAACAAAAAAATAAAATAAAATAATAGAATAAAAACGTAACTTAAATTAAAATTAAACAAAAATTAAAATTAATTTTAAAAAAATATATAGTAAACTTTATGAAACAAATTATACAAAAAATCGTTATTTATGCGTAATCTGAAGTACATCCATATTTATATATTAAATTAAGGCTGAAAATGGCAACTGGCGAAAAGGTTTGAAAGTACAATTGCAAAATGTGGCACCAAGCATCAAAACAATAATCAATGAAATGTGCTAAAGTGTGCATAGTAAATAAATTTATAACGAATAATGAAATTATAAAAATATAATATAATAGGTATAATAAGCTTAAGCACATCGTATATCCACGGAACTGCTTCACACACGGTAGATAGAGCTACGCTATTGCTTATTGCCTGCGGCATGCTGCGTGATTTTTTAATACTTAACGCTTACCCTTTAACCAATTGACGGAATTAGCAACCGAACAAAGTGTACTTAAACATGGATACGTACAAACATACCTGAATATATTTGTGCGCATGCGTCGCCGCACTTACTCTGGCGCGCGCCATTACGCCGGCATATCATTTCCGATACACATATTGTTGTGTTTGCTGATGCGCGCATTAGATGTCTAATTAATTTCACTAAAGGCGGAACACACTTTGACACATAACCATTACAAAGCAGGCAACGTGGCGTATGAGTAACTTTTAATATTATTTGAGGAAATATAATAAATGAAATAATCAAAACGCACTTCAGTCATATATCAATAAACTAGAAACTAATTTGATAGCACATTTAGCGCTTGCTTGTATTTATGTACATATATTGTATTATATTATATATTGTATATCAATGTGATACAAACAAAACCAGTTATCCATATGCCGGTCGTTAGTGACTGCAACTTGCCGGTTGTCCTTGCACTGGAAACTAATTCAAGTGCATGGACGCGCTTTAGGTGGCCTTTCGCGGCAACGAACACGTGATTGGCAACTGTAGATTCAAAATAAATAACTATGTAGCGAAAATTGAAACAGTTGTTGAAAAATTCCTACATTGTAACGGTAAAAATAACTTAAGATAATCAGTAAGGCGGAGTTATTGC